GACCCAAATAAAAAAATTAGAAATGAAAAAGGTGATATTACAACTGATACCTCAGAAATACAAGGAATCATTAGAGACTACTATAAACAAATATATGCCAACAAATTAGAAAATCTGGTGGAAATGGATAAATTTCTGGACACACACAAACTACCAACACTGAGCCAAGATGATACAGAAAACCTAAACAGACCAATAACAATAAGAGACTGAAGCTGTTATCAGAAGTCTCCCAACAAAGAAAAGCCCAGGACTGGATGGGTTGACTGCAGAGTTCTACCAAATATTCAAAGACGAATTGATACCAATTCTCTACACACTATTCCAAAAAGTTGAAACAAAGGCCATTCTCCCAAACTCATCCTATGAGGTAAATGTGACCCTGATACCAAAACCAAACAAAGATGCAACAAAAAAAGAAAACCACAGGCCAATATCCTTGATGAATATAGACGCAAAAATCCTCAATAAAATACAAGCTAAAAGAATACAGCAACACATACACAAAATTATACATCATGATCAAGTGGGATTCATCCCAGGGATGCAATATTGGTTCAACATATGCAAATCAATAAATGTGATATACCACATCAATAAAATCAAAGACAAAAACCATATGATCATCTCTATGGATGCTGAAAAAGCATTCGATAAAATTCAACATTTGTTCACGATAAAGACTCTCTACAAGTTAGGTATAGATGAAAAATATCTCAACAAAATTAAAGCCATATATGATAGGCCCAGTGCCAATATCATCCTGAACAGAGAAAAGCTGAAAGCTTTTCCCTTAAGAACAGGAACTAGACAAGGATGCCCACTCTCTCACCACTCCTACTCAACATAGTGTTGGAAATACTAGCTAGAGCAATCAGAGAAGAGAAGGAAATAAAGGGCATCCAGATTGGAAAAGATGAAGTCAAATTATCCCTGATTCCAGATGACATGATCCTATAGATTGATCAGCCTAAAGCTTCTACAAAAAAACTCTTGGAGTTGATAAATGATTTCAGCAAAGTTGCAGGATACAAAATCAACACACAAACATCAGTAGCATTTCTATACTCCAACAGTGAACATGCAGAAAAAGAAATCAAGATAGCTGGCCCATTTACAATAGCCACCCAAAAAATAAAATACTTAGGAATAAAGTTAACCAAGGATGTGAAAAATCTCTATAATGAGAACTACAAACCACTGTTGAGAGAAATTAAAGAAGACACAAGAAGATGGATAGATATCCCATGCTCTTGGATCAGAAGAATTAATATTGTTAAAATGTCCATATTACCCAAAGTTATCTACAGATTCAATGCAATCCCCATCAAAATTCCAATGATATTTTTCTCAGAAATGGAAAAAGCTATCCAGATATTTATATGGAATAACAAGAGACCACGAATAGCTGAAGCATTCCTGAGCAAAAATAATAAAGCTGGAGGCATAAAACTACCTGATGTTAAACTATACTACAAAGCTATAATAACCAAAACAGCATGGTAGTGGCATAAAAACAGACACACAGATCAATGGAATAGAATAGAGACCCCAGAAATGAACCCATACACCTACAGCCATCTGTTCTTTGGCAAAGGCACCAAGTCCACACACTGGGGAAGAGACTGCCTCTTCAGCAAAGGGTGCTGGGAAAACTGGATATTCATATGTAGGAGAATGAAACTAGATCCATACCTCTGACCATATACCAAAATCAACTCAAAATGGATTAAAGAATTAAATATACATCCTGAAACAATAAAGCTCCTTAAAGAAAACATATAGGCAACACTCCAGGAAGTAGGATTGGGTACAGACTTCATGACTATGACCTCAAAAGCACAGGCAACCAAAGGAAAAATAAACAAATGAATTATACCAAACTAAAAAGCTTCTACACAGCAAAAGAGACAATCTCAGAGTGAAAAGACAACAGAGTAGTAGAAAACATTTGCAAAATATACATCTGACAAAGGATTAAAGTCCAGAATATACAAGGAACTCAAACAACTTTACAGAAAAAAAACAAATAACACAATTAAAAAATGGTCAAAGGAGCTGAATAGGCTTTTCTCAAAGGAAGATATATGAATGGTGAACAGACACATGAAAAAGTGCTCAACATGAATCAGCATCAGGAAAATGCAAATCAAAACCACACTGAGATATTATCTCACCCCAGTTAGACTAGGTATTACCAGAAAGACAGAGAATAACAAATGCTGGCAAGGATGCAAAGAAAAGGGAACCCTCCTACACTGTTGGTGGGATGGTAAATTAGTGCAGCCATTATGGAAAACAGTATGGAGATTCCTTAAAATACTATAGATAGAACTACCATATGACCAAGCAATCCCCCCGCTGGGTATATATCCAAAGGAATGGAAATCATCATGTTGAAGGAATACCTATACTCCCATGTTTATTACAGTTCTATTCACCACAGTGGCCAAGAGTTAGAACCAACCTACATACCCATTGACAGATAACTGGATAAGGAAAATGTGGTATATACTCAATGGAATACTACTGTGCCATAAAATAGAATGAAATTGGGCCGAGCCCATGGCGCACTCGGGAGAGTGCGGGCTGGCTCCCACCGCGGGTTCGGATCCTATATAGGGATGACCGGTGCGCTCACAGCACTCACTGGCTGAGCACAGTGCGGCTGGTCTCAAAAAGGACAAAAAAAATAGAATGAAATTATGCCATTAGCAGCAACACAGATGAACTTAGAGAAAATTATGTTAAGAGAAGTAAGCCAGGCACAGAAAGAGAAATATCGCATGTCCTCCCTCATATGTGGGAGCTAAAAAATAAACAAATAAATTTAAAAACAAAGAAAGAAAGATACAACAATCACAATAATTTGTTGAACTCTCAAAAGGATATAACAGAACTGAGGTATGGAAAAAGGGCAGGAGGAAGTGGGGTTAGTGAGAAATTGGTATAGGGCTATAAAACATAGATTACATTGTGTAATGGTGAGTATATTAATTATCTTGATTTAAGCAAATTGCACACAGTATTGGTAGTCAATGCTGTATCCTACAGATATGCACAATCAACCATGTTCCAATATAAAAATTTTTTAAAAGAAAAAAAATTACTTGACATTTAACATCTATTTGTTTTCCTTGCCGAGATCCCCATGCATGAACTCCTCAGGTTAATTATCTTGAATTAACCATTCCATATTATATTCTAAAATCATAACATCACTTTGTACCCCATAAATATTAACAGCTATAATTAATCAATATATACCCAAAAAAATAGGGACATTGAAGGGGGTGGAAAAGGAAATATATGGAAACTTTGCATTTCCTGTTTATTTTTTCTGTAAAATTAAAACTGCTTTTGGGCCAAGCCCGTGGCACACTCGGGAGAGTGTGGCGCTGGGAGCACAGCGCGGGTTCGGGTCCTATATAGGGATGGCCGGTGCACTCACTGGCTGAGCGCGGTGCGGCCGGTCTCAAAAAAGGACAAAAAAAAAAAAACTGCTTTAGAAAATAAAGTCTATTAACTTAAAAATGAATTTAGCACTTACGAAAATCTATTGCACTTCTATATATCTTTAAAAATATGGTTGAAACATGAAAAAACATATTAGATTTCCTCTGCGGAAAACTAAACATTTTCTGAGACTTAAAAAAGGCCTATAAAAATAGAGAGATGTACCATAATCATTGATTGGAATATTCAACATTTTAAATAAATACAATTGGGTTGGAAGACTCAACATTGTAAATATGTTTGTTCTCCCCACACTAATATATAGAATTACTTTAAACTCTGTAAAATCACCAACAGGTTTTTTACAGAACTTGACAGATGTGTGACAAAAGTACTAGTTAAATTCTTGGCAAAAGTGGCTAAAATAAAATTGTGGCAGAAAATAAAATTGTACCTCTCTTCTATACTGCATAAAAATTAGTAGAAGATATATTGAACATTTAATTATAACAGGTAGTATTAATCCTCAAAAACATCTAGCACACTAAAATCTAGGGCTGGAAGAGATCTTCACCATACAGGAAATCCAAAAGTAAAAAAGAAAACATTAACAAATGTATCCATGTGAAACGTAAAAGTTTTCATTTCGAAAAAAAAAAGTTTATACACAAATTATAGATATGGAAAAAGTATGTCATGCAGTTAAACAAAAGGTTAATATCTAAATATTCAAAAAGTCCTTACAAATCATAAGGAAATAGTCAAATGACAAGAAAAGACAATTACAGAAGGGCAGATCCAAACAATCAATGAGCATATGAAAAGATGCTGAAATCCACAGGAAAAAAAGCAAATGAAGATTACAATTACATTCATCTATATCCATCAGACTGAGGAAAAACAAAAAAGAACAATAACTTTTATTGCTGATAGAGATGTGAGGGAAAAATTATTTTTACACATACAAAAGTAAATAGATATAATAACTTTAAAATACATATATATATACAGATGTATCAAAAGATATTTGCTGATTATTGCTAATAAATTTAATATAAACAAAATTATATATATAGCTACAAAATCATTAGAAAACTAATATTTTTAAATAATGTAGAAAATTCATTATGATAAAATATTTGTAACTTACTTTACTAAGCCAATGACCAAACAAAAGCTCATAATAAAAATCTAAATTCCACAAGATAAATCTCTTCTCCTTATCTAGTGGTTAAGATTATTGGCTCTGGAGTTAAAAACTGTAGGTTCAAATACTGGACATATCCCTAGAACTAAGAGTCCTGAAATGGCTTAATCTTTTGAAATCTCAATGTCTATATTTGTAAAAGGTCGATGAACATAGAAATAATTGTTAGTAATTTTTTTTATTGTCTCACAACCAGAAAGCATGAGGCCTGAATAAAGCACATAATGAATGATCTAAATGTGAATCATTAGAAATAAATAACAATTCCCTAAATTAAGCTATGTCATTATCACACATCTTTGTTTTCTTTCTATAAATACTGAAACATTGTTCTTACATGAATAGATATGCAATATCATGAGGCCTTAGAGTAAGATAAGAGTGTTTCCATTCTAAAAATCTACGCAATAATTCGTCTGCCTCACCAACTGTAGAAATCTTATTTTTATCTGACCACAACTCCAATGATGACAGCACGATAGTAACTTTAAGTTGGGTAAACATCTAAAAACAGAAGAGATAAATACATGTACTGTTAATCTTTACGTTATTTTACAACAACCCAGAAATTAATTCAATGTTTTTACAAATCCACACTCAGCTTGTATGTATGACTTAATTATTCAGAAACACCACATCAAGTTAGTGCAAATTATAACTCCAAAACAAGAAATTTTTCTGATATAAAAAGGAAAACACTTACCGAATTTATGAGGCCAAAAATTTCGATGATTTTATTTGTTACTATCATGCTATCAGAGCCCAGGTAATCATACTGAAAAACAGAATTAATTTTATATTTAAATACAAGTTGTTATATGATGTTTTTGAGATTTATCCTCCATCTAATGTCAGAGGTCTGAGGCTGCTTTGGAGTTCAACAGTTCAAAATAAGATATTAACAAATAAAAAACAAATATAAACTGGATAACTCATACATTGCTGATGGGAATGTAAAATGGTACAGCCAGCCTGGAAAACAGTTTGGCAACTGCTTTCAAAACAAATAATGGACTTGCTATATGACCCAGCAATTGCACTCCTGGGCATTTATCCCAAAGAATGAAAACTGATGGTCACACAAAAACCTGTACATTAATGTCCATAAAAGCTTTATTTATAAATAACCACAATGCAGGTGGCCAGATCTCCAAGGAGGTGGTCCCCTGCCTCCTGCGGAGCTCTCAGTGAAAAATGTTCCCTGACCTGAATCCTTGATGTCTTGATGGTCAAAAGATTAAGGAGGCTTATATAAAAGGGTTAGAGGCCTTGAAAATTTTGTAGACAAGAGAGAGAGGAGAGAATGAGGCAGAAGACATATTTTAAGAGACAATGGTCAAGAACTTCTAAAATTGATGAAGATATCAACTCACAAACTCAAGAAGTTCAAGAAACACCAAGCAGGTCACATAACAAAACAAAACAAAAACGAGCCAAAAAACAAACAAAAATCCCAGATCTAAGCACATCATAATCAAACTGCTGAAAACCAATGATAGAGCAGATCTTATATGCAAAAGGAGAATAAAGAACACATTAATTACTTTGGAATAACAGTATAAATTATGGCTGACTTCTCACCAGAAAAAAAAGCGGGGGGTGAGTCTTGAAGAAAATGGAATGACATCCATAAAGTTGGTAGAAGAATAAAAAAAAAACCAGTCAATGTAGAATTCTATATCCTGGAGAAATAGCCTTCAAAAATAAAGGCAAAATAAGGACATGTTTGGTCATACCAAAAAGTGAAAGAATTTTTTTCCAGCAGACTGGGACTGCCAAAAATATTAAACAAACATATTAAAAATAAACGTGGGGATTACAGCATATAAAGAAGTAGATTATAGAACCACAAGAGCACAAAAGAGGGAAATGGAATTATACTGCAGAATAAGTTTCTTATTCTGCAAAGTAGTATATTATTATTTGAAGGTAGACTGTAATAAATTCAACATTCATATTTTAATCTCTAGAGCCACCACTAAGAAAAAACACACAAATACCATAAAGTTAATACATCTTTCCAAGCAGGATTAATTGGTGTAAACAACCAATCAATAGAAAACAGGACAACAATATATAAAACAATGGTTTTCAGACATTGGACAACAGACAGTGCAAGATGGTGATCCCTGAGAGAAAGGAAAGAAATAATATGAGCCATAGAGATGCCCCAACATACTGCCTATATGCAGTTTCCAGGTTATGGCACAGAGTATGGGAACCCAAATAGAGCCTAGAGAGTTTGGAGAAGCAAAGGCAACTAAAATATGTGGGACAGAAATCTGTCATAGAGGAAACTACACAGAAATCGATAGAACTAATGGATCTCTGGCGATCTACAGAAGGGTCTCCTAGAATCTTTGGTTGGATACTCATCTACACATGCAAAGTGTGTAACTCCACAATTCTGGAGAAAGCCAGACTGAAAATCAGTACACTGAACAATTCCAGGAGCTCACACATGGCTGGGAATAGTTTATATTTATACTAGGCATAGTGGAAAGATGGTTTGATACATGGGGCATTGACTAGAGTCCCTGGAGTGGGGTTAAATTAGCCATAGACTAAAGGCTTCTCTGAACCCATCCTAACAAAGCTTAATAGCAAGTTTTTAAAGAATCAAACTGATCATAAGTAACTCCATTATGTACCAAAAGTAAGTACAACACTCTTTAAAAGAACACAGTAAGATCCAGTACCTAGCAATTAAAATATTCAATATCAAATAAAAAATTAGTAGGGATGCAAATAAAAGCATGAAAACGGTCCATAACAAAGAGAAAAACCAATCAGTAGAAAGAGACCTAAAAATGCAGTCATCAGGAATAATTCTGATGATTGAATTATAAGACAGGGGGAAAGAAAGAAACAAAAGATATTTAAAACATCTAAACAAAAAGCAATAAAATGACAGGACTAAGGCAATATCTGTCAATAAAAACCTTAAATTTATATGGATTAAACTCCCCATTCAAAAGACACAGATTGACTGGATTAAAAAGCTAGGCCCAACTATATGCTGTCTTCAGGGAACTCATCTTCCCAGTAAAGATACACACAGACTAAAAGTGAAGGGATGGAAAAAGAAATATCACACCAATGGAAACCAAAAACAAGCAGGAATAGCTATTCTTATATCAGATAAAATACATTTTAAACCGAAAACCATAGAAAGAAACAAAGGCCACTATATAAGGATAAAGGGATCTATCCACCTAGAAAACATAACAATCATAAATATATATGCACCCAACACTGGAGCACCCAGATATATAAAGCAAACACTCTTAGACCTACAGAAAGAGGTAGACCTTAACAAGATAATAGCAGGTGACCTGAACACCCCTGTGTCAGCATTGGACAGGTCATTTAGGCAAAAAGTCAACATAGAAACAAAGGATTTAAACTACACCTTAGACCAATTAGACCTGGCAGATATTTACAGAACATTTTATCCAACAACTACAGAATACACATTCTTCTCATCAGCACATGGAACATTCTTCAGGATAGACCACATGTTAGGTCACAAATCAAGTCTCAGCAAATTTGAATTATCAGACAAGGATGTTAAAACGAGTATTATAAATGTACTTGATATGTTCAAGAAGGTACAACAAGACATGAATATGATTAGGTGAGAAATGAACGATAGATAAAAAGACTCAAATGCAATATGTAATGATGAGAATTCAATATCCAAAATGAAAAAAATAAAATAAGAAGACCCCTACTGGATGAGGTTAACAGCTGATTAGACACTGTAGAAGAAAAGATTATTGAACTTGAAGTTATAGCAGTATAACCTCCTCAAATTGGAACACAGAGAAAAAATACTGAAACAAGATTAATAAAACATCAATAATTTGTGGGACAATAGCAAGTTGTCTATCATACATATAATTGGAGTTCCATAAAAGGAAAGAGTAGACAGAAAAATTATTTTAAGAAATAATGACTGAAAAGTTCTCAAGTCTGATGGTAACTATAAATCCTCAGACCTAAGAAACTCTGTGAACCCTAAGTATAATAAACATAAATACAATTATACCTCAGTACATAATAATCAAATTGCTGAAACTCAGTAATAAAAAGAAATGCTTAAAAGTAGCCAGAGGAAAAAAGCCAGATTACTTAACAGAGGAACAAATCTAACTGTTATGGATTGAATGTTTACATTCCCCCAAAATTCACTAACTGAAATCCTAACCCCAGTGTGATGGTATTAGGAGGTGAAACTTTGGGAAGGTGCTTAGGTCATGAGGGTGGAGCCCTCATGAATTGAATTGGTGCCCGTATAAAAGGGACTCAGTAAGGCTCTCTTGAAATCTTTTCCACTATGTGAGGTTAAAAAGAGAAGTCTGCATCCTGGAATCTAACCATGTTGGCACTCTGATATTAGACCTCCAGTCTCTGGACCTGTGAGAAGTAGATTTCTATTGTTTATAAACCTAATTCACTCTCATCAATAACTTTAAAATTTTTCCCTTTATTTCATTCTAAATACCACTGATTTATAAGTTTCCACCTTCCTCCTTCTACAACTTTCCCACCAGCAATCCATCCCTACATTATTACCAATATGATGATTCTAAAACGAAAACATGAATATGTCACTCCCCTGCTTAAAAAAACTTCAATGACTCTCCATTGCCTTTAGGATAAAATCCAAATATCCTCTAAATTTTTTAATGCATCAATTTTCACATCCCTCTTTTAACGATATAGATTAATCATATTAAAGTTCTTGCCATTTCCTGAAAAGAACCTTCTCTCACACTTACGTGTTCTTACAAAGAAAGGTTTCACACAAAGTCTTCCCTGGCCCCACCCTCCACCCAGTACCCACATCGTGCATTTATTATGTGACCCACAGTATTTATTACATGTTTTTATTGTATGTATTTCTGATGCTTTGATATCTTGGGGCCTTGCTGACCCTGCCTGGAAAGACTGCCCCTCTCAGGGCTAGCCAATTCCTAGAGATAGTAAATGACTTGCCTTTGAGTGAACCTTTAATATGCAAGCTAATCAATTCAGAGCCTACATCCCAATCACCTCCTCTCCCAGGGTCTCATACACAGGGCCACTATTCCCCGGAACAAATCAACCAAGGGCCAGATACCAGAAAACTAAGGAGAGTCCCTACACCCCAGAACCCACTAAAATTATTCACACTAGCTAATCCTAAACCTGCTTGCCCTGCCTTGCCTATTTCTTCTCGTGGAAACCACAATAAAGGCTCTTGACCACATTTCCCCCTTGCTCCACTTCTCTCCTGACTTATCTCAGTGCTTCCTCAATGGCCCCTGCATAATGTACAGTGCCCTCTCCCACTAAGAATTGTGCATAACAAACTGTCTTTTCAATAGCAATCATCTCCTGATCAGTTGACCTCACCATACCTGAATTTAATAAAACCTACGTTTTAAAACACCCACTTTCATGTTCATATAGTATCTCAAGTTATAGTTGTGTGTTTCCATGTACGTCTCCATTTCTGAATGGGTTAGTACCATATGCCTCCCTCAATCGCGGCACTGAATTCAGTAGGCTACAATCAGGGATTTACAATTTATGAAGTCACTAAAGAAAATGTCACTTTTATTCTCATTTATATCCCTAATATATAGTAACAGGGTTTCATAACTGCCTCAATGTTTTATTAAAGAATATGTAAATATTAATAAGAACATAGAAAAGTTTAATTAGCATTATATACCTAGCAAACCTGGCAATTTGGACAAGAAGCTTTTATAACAACTCTCGAAACTTTATAAAAAATCATAAAACAAAAGAATTTTTATAACCCAAAATACTATCTAGAAAATTAGTCATATTTCCTAGAAATACTTCAACTTTCTCTTAAATATCTCAGTATTTTGGTTTTCTCTTAAATGTTCTCTTTTCTCTGCACTCTAATAAATATTTTTATATCCTTCTCCAAATCCTTTATGTCTCTGATATCAACTCTGACTTCCTGACAAGCTCTACAACCCTAAGAATGGAACTGGTAATGAGTACTATTCATATTCTCCGCGTGTTTCATAGGTGTGACAATCAAATGCTTATCATCAGAATAAAACCTGGAAAATACATTCTTACCCTATTTTCTGAAATATTTCAAACATTAGGGGAAATAAAGCCAAATCTGGTTGATTGCAAAATAAATTATCAACCCAATTTCCTGAAGTTCAGGGGAATTATTTATGGGAGTCAGGGATGGAGAGATGTCTTTATATTAGGTCAACAATGAACTGGAATAGGCGCGCCATCTAAAACTGCTACAAAAATCTTGACACATTATGTGAGCAGTTCAAATAGACAGTTACACTCCCATCACTGTGGCCCAGTAAATATTTTAAAGGGTAAAATATACCCTAGACCACATACTGCTCATCAAGACTTCCTTAAATAAGACTCAAAAGTTTAATGAATTTCACTTTAAATATTACCATGAAAACATAGTGTGAATTGAGAGCAACCCTAAAAAACGTGAAGCACCAGCAAAACAGAAAAAAGTAATATGGTTCTGCAGAACTGTTACATAAAGATTTTGAAAAATATTTCTGATAAAACTAGCGTAAGTTTGAGTATTTGGTTCTTCAGTTTGCACGCTTTTCCACTATTCTCTCTCTGACATGTGAATGAGAAGACTGGAACCTTTTAGTTGCTCTCTGGCCAGGGATAATCATATATTTGCACCAAATATTAAAAAGCAAAGAAAAAGCAAAACACATACCAAAGCTTTGTCCACCACAATATGCGTTTCTAGATAAAGAGGAAATAAATCCGCAACAGCTGGTTCTGACTAGAAAAAAGAAAAACAGCAGATATAACTTGAAATTTTTCATAATTTGTTTATTCTGAACTTTTTACTAAAGCTAGGAAATGCTAGGGCATTTGCTTTTACAACTGGTTAATATCAATGCATAGTGCTTTAAGTTTTATGGCACTGGACTCAAGTAATAACAGCGCTGCTTATGAAGTTACAATGTATATCTCAATAGACCTACAACTTCCAGTTTGTGAACTAAGAGCAAGATACCTAGAAGTTCTAGCCATTTATTTTACCTGTATATCAAAAATAAGCTTCTTTAAAAATTATGAAATGTCAAAAACTATTTTTAAAAGGTTACTTTTTTTACTCCTTCCTGTATCTATGTCCTTTGCAGTATGACTTTTCCGTGACTCCCGTCAGGAGGTGAGTCTATTTTCCCTCACTGTCAATCTGAGTTGAGCCTTGTAACTTAATTGAGCCAATAAATGCAGTGGAAGTGCTGTGATGCTGATTCTGAGTCTGAGTCACCTTTCATATTGACAATCTTGCTCTTGGAACCCCTGCTTGTACACATCTGCCAGATGATAAGAAACAAGTGGCCGATTCCCTCCCATTGCCCCAGGGGGAAAAAGTGGGGCAGTACTTTAGAAAAAAATAAGCTGCTGAACTTCTATAAGAGAGTATTGTGGTGTTTGAACTTACCCACTTAGCATCCCATCCCCCACACTAAGCTCAATGGCATGAGTCCCATGGTCCTGATGTGGCTTGCTATTGCCAGAGGAGAAAATACCAAACTTGTTCTCAAAGAACTGTGGTTGTGTGTTTTGAGCTACCCAGTGCCTCTCTAAAGGATTTGCTCAAGGGATTTTTTTGTCTGTTTGTTTCTTCTACCTCCAAACTTTCATAGGGCTGGAGTGAACTCCTAGGAAATGTTTGTGAAAAGCATTTAAAGGCAAATACACTAGCTGCAGCCACTGGAGAACAAAGGATAACAGATGGTACAAGCAGCAGGCATGCTGAAAAGCCTAGAAAGAGAGAGGCTGGGAAAGGCTATGGCTGGATAAACAAAGGCTTTGAAAATCTCTAGCATATACTGGGAAATTTAGAAGGCCATACACATATCCAGGGCTGGACACATGCTCAGAAAAAGACTTGAGAAGACTCTAAGCTTTCTCCCCTGGCTAAAAAGAAAAGAAAAATTAAGAAGGGAATAAAATGACACACTAGAACAAAATCAATTAAATAAAAAACAGTAATGAAGGAATTGAAGAACAAAAAATACAAGACAAATTGAAAACAACAGAATGTCAAAAGTAAGTCTTTCTCAATCATTAATTATTTTAAATGTAAACGTATTAAAGTCTCCAATTAAAAGACAGAGATTGTGTTTCTCTCCATAAGGATAAGTGACATAAATTTAGATTTCTGCATAAAAACTGACATGAAAATTTGCAATTACCTTATGTAAATGTACATAATATTTCTATTACGCTGTCTTATTTTGATCTGTTATTCTTATTTTCTAATATTTGAAAATAATTTTTAGAAGTTTGCATTAATAAAATGTTAAAGTAATGTACCTTTTGAAGTTTAACAGGTTTATAATAGTAAATCAGTGAATTTTGGAATAAATATTATAAAAACCTCACTAGATTAATTTTTGTTCTTGCTGTTGTTCAACCCCCATCTTTTTATAACTGGGAATTTTGTTCTTTGGACATATTTATTTGGTTTTTTTTTTTCCTTTTTTTGTCTTTTTTACTGACCAGTAACGGGATCGCAACCCTCGGTGTTGCGCCCGCACCGCGCTCAGCCGGTGAGCGGGAACCGGTCTCCACACGGGATCCGAACCCTCGGCAGGAGTGCCGCCACACTCCCAAGCGGCGCACTCTCCAGTGCGCCACCGGGCCGGCCCTTTTGGACATATTTAAAAGTCATTTTTTCCCATCAGAAAAAGGGCCCTCTACTCAGGCCCAAGCTTCTTATCTCTTTCTTAGCCTATTTTCTTCTCATTAGCACAAAGTTAAATTTCTCTTTTTGAGCTTAAATCTCTGACATAAAAAATTATTAGTTTAAAACATGTTAAATTATATAAAGTTTAACTTTGTATATACATACATGTAAACTGTCATCCTATTTTTTAGCTAAATATACATAAATTCATTCAAGCAAAATATTCAAATACAAATTCTTTATATCACATGCTCTTACCCAATAAAACTTCATAATTTCAAAAATAAAATTTTTAAAAATAAAAAAGTAGATAAAAGATAGATATTGGCAGAATAAATCAAAAAACATGGGCCGGCCTGGTGGCACACTGGAGAGTGTGCCGCTTGGGAGTGCGGCGGCGCTCCCGCCGAGGGTTCAGATCCCATGTGGAGACCGGTTCCCACTCACTGGCTGAGCGCGGTGCAGGCGCAACACCGAGGGTTGCGATCCCATTACCAGTCAGTAAAAAAAAAAGACAAAAAGGAAAAAAAAAAAAAACATGATTGAACTACCTACTATCTACAAGAGACTCACTTTAGGTACAAAGACGCATATAGGCTAAAAGTGAAAGAACTGAAAAACATATTCCATGTAAATAGTAAATAAAATACAAAATATAACTTGGAGGGCTGTAAAAATATCAGAAAAAAAATAGACTTTAAATCAAAAATGTTTACAAGAGACAAAGAAAGACATTATATATTGTCTTTCAAACAAACAGGCCAACAAGAAGATAAAGCAATTATAAACATATACACACCTAATAATAGAATCCCAAAACATATGAAGCAAAAAACTGAAAGGAGAAATAGCCAGTTCTACAATAATAGTTAGACACCTCAATACCTCATTTTCAATAATACATAGAGCAACCAAATCATCAATAAGGAAGTAGAAAACTTTAACAGCACTATAAACCAAATAGACCTAACAGATATTTACAGAACAATCCACCCAAGAATAGCATAATACACATTCTTCTCAAGTACAACTGAAACATTCTCCAGGGTAGAACATATGATAGGCCACAATAGAGTCTTAATAAATTTGAAAATGTTGAATCATACAAATTATTTTCTCTGATCACAATGAAATGAAACTAGAAACTAATAATAAAAACACTCTAAAATCTAGGAATAGAAAGGAATTCCCTCAATCTGATAAAAGAATGTACAAAACCCACAGCTAATGTACTTAATGATGAAAGACTAAATGCTTTCCCTCTTATATCAGGGACAAGACCACTTATATACAGCAATGTGCTGGAATTTCTAGCCAGAGCAATTAAGCAAGGGAAAGAAATAAAAGGCATCCAAATTAAAAGTGAAGTGAAACTATGTAACTTAAGATAACATAATCTTATACAAAGAAAATCCTAAAGAATCCACCAAGAAACTATTAGAATGAATAAACAAATTCAATTAAGTTTCAGGATACAAAATTGACATAAAAATTACTTATACTTCTACATAATAATAAAACTCCAAATGTTAATTTTAAAATATCTATTTACAATAGCATTAAAAAAGAATAAATACTCAAAGCCTGGTCCAGCAGACCCTGGCATTATCCCAGCCCCCTAAATCCAAGACTCCAGACTCATACTCACAGACTCAGACTCCAGGCCTGCCCCTGTCGATCCATGCACAAGGCCAAACTGCACATGGTTTCCAGCCAAAGCCCACGGACCCTGCCAGCCAGCTTGCCCAAAACATCTGGATGGGCTGACTGTTGAATGTCTTTCCACAATGAAACCAGTATGTAAAGACTGGAAGAGCTACTTCTTTCTCCAAATGGGCAGACACAAAGACAAAGCAACAGAATTACAAAGAATAAGGGAAACATGAGACCACTGAAGGAAAAAATAAAGTACCTATAAATGGCACTAAAGAAATGGTAATTTACAAACTATCTGACAAAGAATTCAAAATAATCATTTAAAGAAGCTCAATAAGCAACAAGAGAACACATATAGATAACTAAATGATATCAGAAAAGCAATAAATGAACAAAATGATAAATTTAGCAAAGTATAATAAAGAAGCAAACAGTGCCAAGAACACAATGATTGGGCTACAAAAAGTCAATAGAGAGTTTTGACAGCAAACTCAAATAAGCAGAAGAATCAATGACCTTGAAAGTAAATCATCTGAAAGTATGCAGTCAGAAAAACAAAAATAATAAAAGAATGAAGAAAGTCTATGGGTCTTATACATAACATGAAGCAAACCAACAAACACATTTTGGAATTCCCAGAAAAAACACAGAAAGAGAAAGGAGCAGAAAGCTTATTTAAAGAAATGATGAAAGCAATTTTCCAAAATCTGGGTAGGGATATGAACATACAGATCCATGATGCCCAAAGCTCTTCAGATAGACTGAACAAAAGTAGGTCTTCACTGAGACATGTTATAAGCAAATTATCAAAAGTCAAAAACAGAATTTTGAAAGCAGCAAGAGAAAAGTGACTTGTGACATACAAGGAAACCTCCATAGGTCTATCTGCAGATTTCTCATCAGAAACCTTGCAGTCCAAGAGAGAATGAGATGATATATTCAAATACTGAAAGAAAAAAAAACCCTGCCAACCAAGAATACAACACCTAGCAAAACTCTCCTTCAGGAGGAGGGAGAGATAAAGACTGCCAGACAAACAAATAGTGAGGAAATACATCACTAGTTCTGCCTTACAAGAAATAATAATGAGAGTTCTTCCAGTTGAAATGAAAGACTACTAACTAGCAATATAAAACACAGGAAAAATATAAAACTCACTGAATTCGCTATACAGTAAAATTAAGTATATAGTCAAATTCAGAATACTATAGTATTGCAGTGGTATTGCATAAATCATTTTTTACTCCAATATAAAAGTTAAAGGACAAAAATATTAAAAATAACTATAGCTACAATAATTTGCTAATGGATTCTCAATATAAAAAGATGTAAATTGTGACCTCAATAACAGAAAACGTAGGGAATGGGAAAAGTAAAACATGAGTTTTTCTGTGTGATAAAAGTTAAGTTGTTAAAATAGA